CCGTCCAATGGCTTTCAATGGAGAAAACAAAAAATCACCAAAAATTAACGAAGACTCAGAACAACACCAAATTAAGTTTGCATAGGTTTCAGGAGGTGGGCTAACGATTGCAAGCATTTAAAACACTTTTCAAACAGTTTAAGGCACTTTTACAGGAGCGAAAAGGGACTTCGCAAACCCATTCAAATGCATTGAGTCGGCTTCAATGCATTTCAATTGGGGAACTGCGTTTCCCTCAACGATGTTTCCTATGGAGATTTTCGCTTAAGGACGGCAATCCGTTCCAATTGGAACGGATTAACCGGTTTTCAATGCATTCCTATGGGAAATGGTGTTTCACAGAACGATGTTTCACAGAACGTTTTTTTTTTAACCAATTAACATCGTTGTGCGAGGCACCACTGTAACTGGAAAGAGCCTATGTGCAAGCCTACAACCTCTGCAGATAAGCCACTCTCTGCAGAAAGCAGTGACCTGCAGACCTAAGGGCAAACTGTAGTGATCCTATTTGTACAAGTAATGCCTGAACAGGACTTGCATCATCATATCCAGTCTGGTTTTGAGTAAGGAAGACACAAGCGCTTCAGCTTGGTCCATAACAAGGGCACAAAAGTTGGTTGCCCAACCATCCTGTGCCCTACTGCAGACACTCCAAGCCCTGTATGGGCCCATGACAATCCTTTTGTGCTTCCAGATCCCCCAGGAAAAAAACCCCACTCCTTTGAATGGGAAAATGAAAACTATGATTTGTATTAATTGCTGTCTAAAGAAGCGGACTTGTCCACATTATACCAGTCTTTAAGGTGCCACGTTTTTGGCTTTTTAAAAGCATTTCTTTTGTTTGTGCTGCTTGTGTTATGAGGTAATACACTACCATCAGAATTATTTCTGACAGAACTATTTGCCCTTCTCTAGCACAGAGCGATCAAGAAAAAGATAAACAGAAGGTAGCTCTTTCAAATTTTTGGCAGTGACAGCATCTCATCGACAGGAAAAAAGAAGCCAAAGTAGAGGAGAGAAAAAGAGATCCTAGTGTCTTGAAAAGAAACACACAAAATTCACACAGGATTTTGCATACACAAAGTTCTAGCAGTGTAACTAAAAGGGGGGAAAATTTTAGAATTCAAAACTCAAGCAATATACCACATCAACTTTGTACTGCAGCTACAAAATATATGAGCACAACAGCTGCTATAGCCCAGTGGCCTCTTTCACGGGTCCTTGGCAACAGGCAAGAGAGGTCATAGGCTTCACTTGCATCTTCTCTATATGGTATTAACGTTCAATTCCCTCCCCCTAATCCCACTTTTAAGTGCATAGTGTCTATGTTTTAATTTTAACTTTTTAACCACATGTCAGACTTTAAATGAAATATTTATGTGGGGTGCCACTCCACCCCATGAGTGACTTTGCTATACCCCATGGTTGCCCTGGAAACACAAACAGCCCTGACTAGTCTGCATTTACATAGTTTTCTGAAGACAGTGCATACCCTATTTTTAAGCCCACTCCCCTTGGCTTTGAAAGTACTGTATCTATGTGAATGTAAAATCAGCTGAAACAGGCTCTCTTTGTGACATATAAGATGATAAATGTTTTTTCTACAGAAACACACACAAAAGGACTTTCCAAACCTCAGTTTGTTGGTAACAATATTCTTTTTAAAACATCAACTGTCATTACACAATACAATGGTCCAAACTCTAAACTCTTGTAGTGACTAAAAGTCCTTCCAGTTTGCGTTACAGACACAATTTCTGGTTCATTCCTATGAAAGAATTACATAGTGCATACTATATGCAGCTGTTCTGGCCTTTTTACTCATTTGTTGAAGAGTCAGTATTTGGCTGCCCACAACAACACAATAATATTGTCTACTGTATTCAAGCAAATTACCATATTTTTCCATGTATAAGACAATACTTTTGCCTAAACTCATTAGACTGAAAATTGAAGGTTGTCTTATACATGGAAGTAAGCTGAGAAGAGAACAAAATGACCCATACCTTGCCTCTGCAAACAGACTTCCCCCACTCGCGGGGCAGCCGAAGCCTGGTGAGGACAGCTGAGGCGCAATGGAATGCTGCTCAGGCCAGACAGCGCGGAGGGTGCACAGCAGGCTGGCCAAGGAGGGTTTGTCCCCTGCTTGTATAGGACGGATTGGAGGCCTCCTCCACTCTGTGCGACCCCCACTCTCACGGCTTCTCCTGACAATACACGGGGAGGGGGGCATGGCAGTCCCTGCTGAGGGAGGCCCCCCCGCCTCTTCCCCGCTCTGCACAAGAGCTACAGGTTACGCCTCCCTTTTGTTTAGAGCCACCAACCACAAACTTGGCACTGCCACAGAGAAGTTCTGGGGCAAAATAGGAGGGAGAGACTGGAAGGTTCCCCCCTCCCTTGGTAGAATCGGCCCCGCTCCTGCTGCTGAGGCCACCAGAGGTGCCCCCCCGACACAACGGCGCAGTGCCCCAGGTCAGAAGAGGCTCCTGCAAGCTGCTGCAGTGCAGCATCCAGCGCTGGCCTGCTCCTCCATCCAAGGTCCAGGTTCCTGCTGCTGCCACTCGTCAGTCGGCTCAGAATCTTTAGGCGGAGAAGGGGGCGATAGGTCCGGAGCTCTCCCTGCTCTTCACATGGTGGCTGGCTGCTTCTGCTTCTGCTGCCTCCTCACTCCATTCATACAAAGCCCGGCAAGGAGGAGGAGGAAGAAATCACAACTGAGAGCTGCTGCCTCCGGTCTGGGTGGGGTGAGGGGATGTGCCAAGCCGAGCCAGGCCCACCACCTGAGCTGTCACCGCTGAGGCCAATTGGGGCTCAGCACCACCTTCGACGAGCTCATGCGCAAAACAATGCACCATGTCGCTCACCTCTGCTCGGTGGGAAGGAGGGGTCCCTTCACAACCGCCGGCGATACAGTACTGCTCCTGTCGCTGCAGGTGACAGCATGTGGTGCTGACGTCACCCCACGTGCTTTTCCTTCTCCGACAGCTGCAGAGCAACCCTCAAAGCCAAGTTTAGATTTTTTTAAAATTTTGGGTTAGAAAAGTATTTTTCCGTGTATTTTTATACACAGAACAATAAGGTGTTTGTGGCAGGAAGCAAGATCAATGGGGAAAACTCCCCCAAGTAGAAGTCACCAAACTGAAAACAACTATTTAATGAAGTACTAGCAAGCTCCTTGATCTTATTTCATGTAAAGCCTATTCTAAGATAAAATCCGTGAGAGAGCCAGATATTAAGTTTGAAAGTCTGTAGCACTTTACATTAGCAGTAAAATAATCAGTATCTATCTCTTTAAAAGCTGTGGTGAAAAAAAAAGTTATGTTATCTCACCTTATGAGCACCTATAATATCTGGGAAGCAACCAAGAAATCCTTTATATTCATGATTGGTTTCCATCAGATAATGGAGATCCTTCTTTGGCTGATAAAGAAACAATATTCAGTAATAAATTTATAATAACATTTTGTATGAGCTCCACAATGAAACTGAATACCATAAGAAATTTACATTGGAGTGGGGAAGGATATCTTAAACATTCTAAGCATTTAAAAAATAATATCTGCATAGGAAACTGATACTTGAAGAGATTGGTATTTCTTTAAAAGGAAATTTTTTCAATTGCAAATGCAAGGATTTTAGAGTTCCTGAGAAGCTGTTATGGAAGAGACTCACAAAGAATGCATTTCAGCTAAATAATCTAGCCCATTTTATATTTTACAATGTTGTACAAAGTAAAATACGAATGGCGCTTTATTAAGTGCATGTCCTCATTTAATGTAGCAATGCACTCTAATCGCTGCCCTTTCAAAAGGTGCACATGCAGTGCACAAATCAATTGTTATAGCATGGAAGGGAAGGACTGAACTTAGTCTCTACTCCCTGCATTTAACAGGCAATAGCCAGTGCCCTGTTGAATAGAACTGCATATGCAATTGGAGTGACACTGCCAGCCATAGCAAATTGCTGCCAATTAAAGATTTCTTTTTTCAATCTTAGGTGTGCCTAGTTTTGTACCATGGAGCATGAATTGTGTTCTCCCCAAAATTGAAAAAGGAACTCTCAAATAGGCAGTAATCTGTCAGGGCCAGTGACATCATTCCCATTGCACAGGCAGCAATAACACAACAGGCTATTGGCCTGTATATGAACAGAAGCAACAGTTAGATTCAGGAAGGGAATCATACATATGGCTCCTAGCTGTGCACAAAGATAATTTTTCATCCACCAAGACACACAAATGTAGCAGTGTTTAGATGGATTAGAAAAGTATATTTTGAATATCAGGCAATGGCAAATTGGCTACTTCATAATCACTGGAAGTTTTAGATGGCATCATAAACATTTTCCTCATTCTAATACTATATCATACTCACCTGTTCTGCCACAAGACTAGCAATTTCTTCATATGTTTTTCCTGCTTCTGTTATTGCTTCATTAAGGTCAGACTCTCCTAAATATGAAGGTTTTCAATTAAGTTTGAATTCATAATTAAAACAAAAATTCTATCTGTGCTGCTTTAAAATAGTTTTTGTTGGCATTCATATAACACTAGTGACAAAACTGTGTATGAATAATATTTATAAAGCTAAGCCAATGCTCAATATAAACTCTTATTTAAGAGTTTTTAAAAATGTAAAGATATAGGATAGCCCAGTCAGTGAAGGAAAATATTTCTCTCTAACCATTTCTGTCTTATGATTTTGATCTTAGCATAATTTTGACCAGATCTATGATGAAGCATTAGCTCTTTTATAGTTTCGGTTTCTTTTCCTAGTTTTGCCCCTAATGCTGATGGGGGTGGTGGTGGCACTTATAAGAAGACGGGAAGTGAACACAACAGTTCTTGGGGGAAAGAACAGGCTACAACTTTACTGGTTACAGTAGCAGCATCCCTGGCATGACACTGGAATTGGATCCAGATCATTGGGAGATCTAAGTGTCAATTCATGCTACCAACACCATCCCAGCATTCAGCTGAAATTAATCCTGAAATGATACATTGGTGGGGGCCACATGGGCATACATCATCAGAGGGTGAGGCCAGATCTTCAGGGATCTCTACAAACACTGTGGGGAGAGGCAAGTCCAGTGTCCACTCCAGGGATGATGGTAAGTCTTTGGACCAAAGTCCCGGGTCCAAGTCTTTGGTACCAAGGCTTGAGTCAAGTCCCAAGTCTTTGGTACCAAATCCCAAATCCCAGACTTCGAGTCTGAGTCCCAAGTCTTGGATGGAGACTGGGAGGGGACATGTGTATGAGCATAAGCAGTGGGCCTGGCTCCAACCCACCCCCGTCCCAGCGTCTATCTATTCCTGCAACCACTGCACACCGCTGTCCTCAAAAGAAAGCAGTAGGCTCGACTTTCCTTCCAGGAGCAAGGCCTGCAGCTTCTGGGCATGCTGAGAAGTGTAAGCATGTCCAGAAGCAGCAGGCCTGGCGCCAGGAAGGGAAACCAAGCCTGCTGCTTGCTCCTGAGGACAGCGGTGTGTGGCTATGACAGCGGCAGCAGGAGCAGGAGGAAGTAGGTAGGCGCTAGGGGACAGTGGGGGAAACTGACAAGCAACCTGGAAAAATGGTTCTGACTTGCAAGTCAAGTGTGAGTCACTGGGGAAAAACCCCAAGTCGAGTCCAAGTCAGGTCGCTGGTGCGGCTCACGTGTGACTCAACACTGAGTCTCAAGTTGCAAGTCCCCATCCCTGGTCCACTCCATCCCTGTGTCCCAGCCAGTAACTCGTAAACCTCCCCACAGATGTTATAGTGAGATTGGGAGAATTCAACAATATGTGATACAAGAACAACAGAATGCAACTTGCATGCAAAATACAGAATCATCATGCAGGGAGGAGAAGAGAGAAAGTGGCCTGAGTGAAGAGATTTCATTTCTTCACTCCTAACGCTACTGTGCCAGAGAGATTCCGTAATAAGCCCTTCACATAATGAGGAGCTCACACCATGCTTATATTTTCATGGTAACTGTGTACAAAGCCAGTAATTTCTTAAAAATGGAACAGGCAGATCAGAATGAAGCTGGCTCCATTCCGGTCCACCTGCACCCAGTCTCTGCCCTCAGCCACAGTCAGTGAGAGGCACAGGGGCAGCCATGACAGCAGTGCCTCTGTGAGTTCCCTGAACTGTGCCAGAATGCTAATGTGAATACTGTAATATGAATAGAAGTCAGGAGCTGACTGCGAGACCAGTCACCGTGGTCCTGATGCACCACACACAACTTGGGGAACGAGATGTCTAGGTCCTGCATTTATGCTTTTTCAGTTTTTAAAATCAAAACATACACCAGGTCAGAAGATAATTTAGCCAACTCCCACGCATAATATATATTCTGAGGCTACCCAAATTAGAGGTCCAAATTTTAAAAATAGGTGTTACCTTGATAACCACTGGTACTGAAAACCAATGCTAAACCTTGTAAAGCTTTTCCTATTTTCTGATATTCCTTGGGTAATGCTGCAAGAAAAATGATTTGATCTTAAAAGCATAGTCAAGTATTGCCAGCAAAAGATGGTTACAAAATAATAGGTCCTTTTCTCTGACAAGTTCTTTAAAATGTTGCTTTTCAAGGTACTCCCCTGCTTAGCCTGAGGCTTGTAACATCCTCTGTGATACTGACACCTAAGGCAGACCAGAGGTTATTTATAGACTCTTTGTCCAATGTTGGATAAGCTGCTAGGATTTCTAAGAAGCCACTGCAAGACTTGAATTGTGCAGCCAGTTACTTAGGGGAAACGAAGCAGCCTCTTCGTTCTGAAGTTCAAAGACTTTAGGATTGAAATAAACAGCATTATAGTGTATCCTTAGGGACGTGGTGGTGCTGCGGGTTAAACCGCAGAACCCTCTGTGCTGCAAGGTCAGAAGACCAGCAGTCCTAAGATTGAATCCACATGATGGAGTGAGCTCCTGTCACCTGTCCCAGCTCCTGCCAACCTAGCAGTTCGAAAGCATGAAAAAATGCAAGTAGATAAGTAGGTACCACCATGGCGGAAAGGTAACGGTATTCCGTATCTAGTTGTGCTGGCCACGTGACCACAGTAACTGTCTTTGGACAAATGCTGGCTCTATGGTTTGGAAATGGGGATGAGAACTGTGCCCTAGAGTTGGACACGACTGGACTAATTGTCAAGGGGAACCTTTACCTTTACTTATAGTGTATCCTGGTGCAGGTAAGTGTTAATAAAGACAATCATTATATATACACATCAGCAGTTGCCCATTTATCAAAGCAGAGGATTATTCTTGGTATTTTCTCTTTAAAATACTGCATCTGGAAATTCAACTGACCATATACTTTCTAAACAAACTAAGTGATTTTTAATTAGGTAATTCAGTATAGTTGTTCAGGAAGCATGGATGCAAATCATTACACACAGTGTGAATTTGAACAATAGTTGGTTTGTTTTTCAGATCTATACTCTGAATACATTTAGCAACTTAAGCATAACCTCGATGAAAAAGTAAGACTATCCTATGCTATTTTATTTCACACAAGTTGGTGTATTCGCCAACTAAATGAGACCTAAATAGTATCTCTGAAAAATAGATCCAATTGTATTTGGTGATTTCATATTTTATTTACTAGATGTACTTTTAAAGTATTCTGCTAGTATGTAATCATAAAGAAAAGATGCTTATTTTACAAATATAATCAACAGGGCAAGAAATCGTTTTATCTTCTTGTGTGTGTGTACATACGTACTTGTATACATACAATATATATAAGACACACAGTACTTACGTCCTGTACAACGTTTCCAGTGTTCATGGCCCACTGTCAACAATTCCTTAACACCATCATCCATGGCTTTGGTGAACCTGCCAACTGCATCACATTTCTGTTCGCTGTGTAATAAGGACAACCAAGTAAGGCACTTTTATTTGCCTTTGTTTGTTTGTTTGTTTGACTTATATATTGCCCATCTAGAACATGTCTTCTCTGGGCGGTTCACACAAAAAATAAAAATACAGATATAATGAAAACATACATATATTAAAAGATGGAGCCCAATTTTACTATAAAAGTCCGAGATGGGGAAAAAGGAAAAAACCAAAACAAAAGCTAAGTGATGGCTGTTGGGAAGGTCTGCCTGTACAGCCAGGTCTTTAGTTTGCTCTCGAAGGCTCTCAGAGAGGAAAAACCAAAACAAAACAAAAGCTAAGTGATGGCTGTTGGGAAGGCCTGCCTGTACAGCCAGGTCTTTAGTTTGCTCTTGAAGGCTCTCAGAGAGAGGTCATGAACATTTTTTTAAAAGAAAAACTTAAACCTAGAGTGGGGCTTCTTTGCAAATTGCCTAAGCAAGGCAATGAACAGAACTTCACTTTCATACAGTTCACTGCTTGTTTTCCAAAGTTCAAATGTACAGTGTTCCCTGGATGTATAACATGGAATTTTTTAAAAGCTATATAAGGCCAAATAATGATTTAACACTGACAACGACAATCCAAAGAATTTCCCAATCACAACTTTGGGATAGAAACATCCAAATGTTTATTTTTTCTAGGTTCATTATGAAACCATAAAAATAAAAGCATCCCATATACATATTAATACATTTTGCTTCTTATTTATTTAAAATAGTTTAATGAAATTATTCTTCATAATGCATAGAAACTCTAAAAAAGCTTTCAAATAAGAGCTAAAATTTTCAACATTTTGGATCACTTTATGTTATTAACCCATTAGATATAAATACAGATGTTTCATTACTGGCAATAGAAAATAAAGTTACCAAAACAAAAGAGTTTCTGATTTTGCTCAGAGAAATATGGAGCGTGATGAACTATTGAATATACTTGGGTGAGTATAACCGCAATGTTACTCTTCTCTTTATGGACAACCATGGTGATGCAATGGCTAGAACACTGTACTGGGCTTTGGAAATCAAATTCTAACTTGCAGAGAGCTGCAAAACTCACTGATTACTTCCTCAGTGAGACCTACCTTATAGAATTGTCGTAAAGGTAAGTTAGGAAGGAGAAGAGCTATGTAGACATCCCACTGAACTTACGGGAGTAAATATGGGATACAAATTTAGTAACTAGTTAGCAAAAATATTAGGAGTGATGTGCATGTACTACTTTTACCACCTACTTCCTTCTTTTGTGGGAGTTTGTTATTTTTATGCTTAAACAGAACATCAGTAAGGCAGGGTTTGAAAGTGGTTCACAGATAAGAGAGAATTCAATAACCATGTTTAATGTCAGGGTCAATGTAATGCTTGACCACAGATTAAGACCTGTATGAGAAGACTAGGCAAACTCCATGACCAGTATTCCAATGAGCGTCTACTGAGCAGAAAGTCCTACCAACACAGTGAAGCAGGATCATACCACTTGCACAATCATTACTGTTGTACTGTTGTGCATGTGGAGGGCGGGTTTTCTTCACTGCTTGTGCAATGACAAAGATCATTACTGTTGTGCATGTGGAGGGCAGGTTTTCTTCACTGCTTGTGCAATGACAAAATTTCTTGAAAGACTGCAATCCAACTTTACTATACTGGCAGAGCCTTCCACTTAGGAGAAGCTCAACAGAATACTGGCCATGGTACCAGAAAGGAACTGGGAACAAGAAAGAGTGCTAATTTGCAGACTGTTGCTAAGCTGCACACTCCTAATGCAATCCTTAATCAGCACTGAAATTAGGGATGAGAATGTACACAATACAAAGCAGGAGATGATACCACAGTGCAGTCCTGCTCTCTCGGTCAATGGTGAAGGAAATATTATCATTACACATTCAGTGGCCCAAGGAAATTGTTTTTAATGTGATTGAGATTAGTGCAAACACAGATCATTAGTAGTATCTTATTTGAACTAATCCTTAGTGTTTCAACATTTGGGAGTTTTTCAGAATCTTACTTAAAATCCATGATACACAAATACATTTCACTAAGTACTATAGGAGGTTTTATATACTAGTGGAGATCATGAAAGAAAAAAGATTTATATTAAGAAATATATCAAAATATTTGTCTTTTCATAATGCAACATTTTTTGTAATATATAACTGAAGAGGAATAATTCAACACCTTACATTTCTATCATATCCAAATCAGGAGCTTCTGGTTCCATAGTAGAAAAGACCATAACACCCACAATCTCATCTTTTTCTGCCTTCCTTTTGCCTGTTTTCCATTCCTAAGGATAACAGTATAAAAGAACAACAGGAGAGAAACACCTCTTAAGCAGTGATATCTTGCAGAGCCATATCCTATGCTTCTGTCTGCTGCAGTGAACAATTTTACACAGGGTAGTGGATGAGGAAAGCAGCTCCCAGACCTTAGTTCACAACTGATGTGCAGACCAATAACCAAGCATGATTGGAATCATGATGAGAGTCAGGTGATATATCATTTCAAACATGGCATAGTTTTTAGCTTATAAATCAAGCAGAAAGCTTCTTACTGCATTCATATTAACTGCTTTTGAAACAAGGAAGCTTTTGCAATTATGAAGTTTAAGGGGGTATCTGAAAGACAGGAATGTCAAAAGCTCTGCAAAGAGTTCCAAAATGCACTTGAAAGGGTTATTTGTGTTATGACTTAGTTAAGAGTATATGCTTCATATTCAGACATAAATATATAATATATCTGGCTTCTTCCCATTCATCTGCACTACAGACCAACAAAGTTGTAAACTTCTGGCATTTTTACCAAATCAGGGATTGGAAGAGAATTAGAATCCATAGCAAATTCCTTCAATAACAGTGCACGTTCCATTCTATGGGACAATGCTCTCAAGGTACATGAAACAAACAATGTTGATTATATGTTAACTGTGATCCAAAAGCTTACTTCGGGAGGGACAACTCATGCTCCTCCAATTGTCGCTGGAATTCAAGTCCCAGTAGCCCTAGTGAGACCTGCTGCTGCTGAGGGCTACGTGGAGTTGCATCCAGCAATATTTTGAGGGCTCTAAATAGTCCTGTTGTAGCAAACAAATCATGACAAGCCAGAAGTAATTAGCATTACCGAGAAGAATGGATGATGGGTTTATATATAATGATTGTGTGTAGAAAATATTCTAAAATTTCCTACTAAGGAGGAAGGTTGGCCCATCTATCCATGCCATTCTTGCTATCCCTGCTCCAAAGTACTTCTTAAAATCTGTTACCTTTTCATCACGAAAGCTAAGGAACTGCTGAAAAACTTCACTTTCTGAAATAACTGGATGACGACACATCCGGGTCATCCAAGCTTGTAGCCTCTCCATCCGCATTTTGATGAACTCCTCCTCAAAACGCCCTGTAGGCCAAAGAGTGACAGGCACTGACATTCATGCTGTCCTAGTAGGACAAGCCAGTTTGAGATGAATGTTTGTAAAGCCTTGAATAATTTGAACAGCATGGCAAAGTGTACATTTTGCACAAATAACTACATTCTAACTTGATTGGTTCTGCTCAAGTTGTGGAAACTCAGTTAAACATGCGAAGCGACTTATGATAACAAACACCTTTGTTTAGTAAACCTAAGATGAACTTCAATATAGGAAATATCTACCTGTCTTAAAAACATTTAGCTTCCCTTTAAAAACAGTGATTCATTGGATTTGTTTTTGTTGTTGTTGTTTCACCTTTAAGCTGTGCCTGATTCTTCGTGACCCCATGGACCGGAGCATGCCAGGCCCTCCTGTGTTCCACTGCTTCCCGGAGTTTGGCCAAACATTTTGTTTTAGTAGGTATAAAAACTTCACTTCATAAATATATAACATCTTTTTCATTCCATAAAATGCACTCCCCCCCCAAAAAAAGTGGGGGAAAAGTCTGTGCGACTTATGGAGCGAAGCTGGCGATTTCGCCCCCACTGGCCCCATGGGGGGTGGGGGTGAGCCTCCCAAGGGTCCGAGTCTGCCTTCCAGGACTCTTGCGAAGCTCCCTCACGGGGCCAGCGGGGGCAAAATTGCCAGCTTCCAGGACCCTTTTGAGGCTCTGGCCCTGTGGGGTGGGGTGGGGGGAGCTTCCCAAGGGTCTGAATGAGCCTCCAAAGGGTCCTAGGGTGTGTTCCATAAGACGGACCTCTCCATAAGGCTCACCAATTTTTTAGGAGAACACAGATTATTTTTTCCTGTTTTCTTCTCCTAAAAATTTGGTGCGTCTTATGGAGAGGTGTGTCTTATGGAGCAAAAAATACGGTACATTTATAGGGGGAAAGGTTGTGTGCATAAAGTCCACTGCAACTTGTGTTCCATTTGGTGAAGTTTGCAGTCCCAGACATCACTGGCCTTTGAACAGCAATAGTACTGATGGGAGAATGCATTCAACTCTCCAGCCAGAGGTATGCCAAGAATTCTTTCTTTTCCAGCTGTGCAATCCTTGATAAGATGCCTGAGTGTGATAATGGCCAGTAAACACAAAGCCAGTTCATGCAAGGCAGACATTGGCAGTAGGCAGTTTCTCTATCAAGTTTCAGGTATATAGTGTTCCAAACCCTCCTATAATTCTAGAAGTATTAGCCAAATACTGGACTGGGATCTAGTCTATCTAAAAGATTACATTCTCTTATACAAACCCACATAGTCTTTGAGATCTGCAAGTGAGGCTCTGTCCTCAGTCTCACCACCACAGGATTAATTTGGACAGATAAGAGAAAGGGACTGGCCACTCCAAGACTATGAAAATATGTATCAAAGGAGACTTATTTAGCCACCTCCTTATGCCCTCCTGCCACCACACAAAAGAACCTCTTCCCTTGACCCTTGACCCTTGCCCGGCCTGGCTAATCAAAGCAGCCAGGCCTACAACAACTGAATGGGCCACAGCAATAATTAATGGGTCTCTCCAGGAGGGCATTTAGGCCCATAAGGAAGAAACCAAGTTTGGCAGCGGACTGCACTGGCCATTATAGGCCTATCGCCAATGTTTCTTTCTTTAGCAAAGTGGCAGAGAGGGTGGTGGCTGACCACCTCCAGGCTCTTTTGGATGAAACCAATGCCCTGGATCCATTCCAGTCGGGCTTCAGGCTGTGCCACGATACGGTAACGGCATTGGTCGCCCTGTTTGATGACTTGCTAAGGGAGGCTGACAGGGGCAAAATGTCTTTGTTGGTACTCCTCGATATCTCAGCCGCTTTCAACGCTTTCAACCACGGTATCCTCCTGGGGAGACTCTGCAAGCTGGGAATCGGTGATCAGGCGCTTGCCTGGCTCCGATCCTTCTTGGAGGACCGTCCTCAGAGAGTACAGTTTCTCTTCCACTGCCGCCACAGGCTCTATGCTCCTTTCTTATTGTTCCGGAGCTCGCGATCGACTAGCCACCCTCTGACCCGGCTGGGTAGCTCATCGTCCTGCCTTCTGCCAGGAGTGGCTATTATCGCGATTGACTAGCCACCCTCTGACCTGGCTGGGTAGCTCGTCGTCCTGCCTTCTGCCAGGAGTGGCTATTCAACCCTCGTTATGCCCACCTGTATAGGGGTATTCATATTTGTATACAAATACTCCCATCTCTACTTCTCCGTTTTTAGTCTGCTCTGTATTTTTCCTAGTACAAGCACTAATACTCAGTTTTCTTCTCATATATGTGTGTTTTCACATTTTCAACAACATACAGGGGTAAGTGGCTGGGTGTGTATTATTTTGGTTGTCTTTCCTATAACTGTTGAATTTTATTTTATTTTACTTATACATGTGGTGTCTTTCTCCCTGTAGGGAACTCAGGATGGCTTATGTTCATAACAATTAAAACTATACAATAATCAACGGAAACTATATTAAAAACATTAAACATATATCAAGATTAAAACATTTTTTAAAAATTAAAAAACATTTAAAAATCTCTAAGTAAATGGATGTAAATAGAGGAAAGGGGGGAGAAAAATATCATTTAAAATATACACTATACACCTCTTCCAACCACCAGAGAGCCTATGTCTCTCATAAAACAGTGCATGGTCATTGCAAGCTGTAAAAAGGATTGAGTTCCAGTGCCTTGCTACCAGTTACTGAATAGCCCAATTAAGCACATAATGAAATCATCAGGATGATTACTGAAACAGTGATAGCATTACATAAACAAAATAATAAAATATATTTTCAGGTAGTATAGGACAGGGGTCCCGAACCACCGGTCCATGGACTAGTCCTGGTCCGTGGCCTTGCCAGGACTGGTCCATGGTGACAAGTATCTTGCCCCCCTGCACATGCAAATGCATGCACAGATACCCTCCCACCCACCCACAGATGCCCCCACCTGCACGCTAAACCAGTCCGTGGAGGGAAAAACAGTTGGGAACCACTGGTATAGGAGACACAGAAAAAACACAGCATAGCACGGGCCTTTAAAAAGCTAGCAACAGTGCACTCTGTTCTCAGTCCTTTTGCAATCCTCTTCTTACTTTTTAATCATCTACTGTACTTTTTCTGAAATTTCAGTAAGCTGACTTAAAGTTAAAATATCTCACTTTCAAACTAAAAGACGTTCATTACATTAATTTTCAGGAAAAACAACACTCCTATTTGACAGTGAGAAAACACTATGAACCCTGTATTTCAAGACATTGTGTTTTTTTTAAAGTTACCTGTAACTTGTTTGTCTGGAAGAGATGGAATTGGAATGGCTGATCCAAACTTAATCAAAAGACGTTCGTATAACCAGTCAAAGTGTTTATATCTGTGATTGACAGACCGGTTAGTGTTCTGTAAAATAGTCAAAAGAAAAAAAACTTCTTGCTTAGGACTTCTCAAAAATATAGCTACTACAAACTTTATATTAATTAACACTGGTATGTGAAGCTTAGATGAACTATTAAATAGTAATTGGGACATTTTGAGATGACACCTGAGGAAACACTTCTGGTACGCACTTACTGTACATGTAAGCTGATATTCAATGTAGCTCTTCAGACCATACATTTTAGAACCCTTTTTTGGATCAGCCACAACACAGTCAAACGTAGAAGTAGGATAAACCCACATTGGACCATAATCTCCAATCTAGAGGACAAAAGAAGTATTTATCAGCTCAAAGACACATGATACATGATTACATCTAATACACACATTTAATGCGGACACACACCAGTTCCATTAGAATAAAATCAGTACTTGTAAACATCAAAGTCCAGCAGGATTCCCATAACTTAAGAGAACATTGTGAGGGTTCGACTCTTCACTCCTTTCTCGCTTCAAAGAAAGCAGGAGATTTTTGTTTAGAAACAGGTGAGATATTTATTGGTATGTTTAACAAATAACCAGTGTCCAGAACATGATTCCAACGTCTTTCTCCTTCCGACAATGGGTACTGAAGGGGCTTCCAAACTTCGTCCGGGAACTGGTTTCTCTCACTGGAGTTCCAGGGACCCGGCCAATCCACAAAGATGTTTACAGTCTGTCCTGCTTCACCTTCCAACAAGGGCACGGTCTCGTCATCCCGACCATCACCCCACACGAAACACCCTTCTGATGTAGGAGTCTTCCAGGGTCCTCCCTAAACCCCTTCCTCCTCATCTCATTTACTCTCCATTCCAGCCTCTCTCTCCTTTCTTTCTCTCTCTACTCTTTCCTTCTCTTCTTCGAGTCTCCTTCTCCACTCTTTGGCCTCTGCCTCTCCCCAGTAGGATGGTCTGGGAGGAATCTCCCTTCTCCTCCTATAATCCGTCTCCTCCTTAGGCACTCTTTAGTCTTTCCCAAACACCAGTCCATGGGTCCTCCATCCAAACCCACTCCTAACCTGGAGGTGGCGGTTCTTCCCTCCTTCTTATATCTGCTGTCCCCACCTCATTCTCCACTCTCTTCTCCCCCTCTATTCCCACCATTTTTCCCTGAGCCCTTTCAGCGGTTAGTTTTTGTATTTTTCCTTCTCTCTCCTCTGTCCCTGTCCCTCGCTGCTCTGTCTTTTTGAGAGTTGAGACAGGCTGGGTCTGTACTTCCTTCTCGTCTGTACAGAGGAGGGACCAGCTCTCCAGCGAGTGAGATATCTGTCTCGCCTCGTGTCTCACAAAACATGTAGCAGAACACATTAGAATACAGCAACAGAACTAGAATTTTATGCCCTGGATATCAGCCCATGCACTTTGTGCAAATAGCCTTTTACAGTTTCCCAAAGATTTCTATTTCCTCACAAATCTAAGTAGAGTCAAAATTGTACTGTATTAATGCTACCTAGACACTACTGAAGGGTGTTTCTGAAGAGAAAAATAAAAGCTTGATTGTGTTGTTACATGCTGAAGAAGTAGGTTGAATCTTGGTCTATGATCTCTGTTATAAGTGGTGTATTACAAACTTGTCCTCTTGGGAACTGCACTTGACATGTTACAGATGCCATGAAAGGCTGAGTAATATGTAAGTTTACCAGTACGACCAGGACCCTGAAGCTTTTTCATTCAAACAGAACTTTCCTTGGCACTTACTGCTTAATCTAAGTGTATGAAGTATAAAGGCCTTATACCACATGTAGAAGAAACAGTAAGTGCTTAGAAAAGCATTGTTTCATAATGTCGTATCGCTTATGAGGTTGTCACAGATATAAATAGAAAGATATCTAAAAATACTGAACTTACAATTATAGGAATTTTCTCTTTGGGTTTTGCTAGTTGCTTTGCCAACAGATACTGTTCCACTCCGGGTTTTGCAAATCCAGGAAATCTGACCAGAGAAATAAAGTGACTGAATTCTTCTCTCAGAGGCACTTTGCCAGATTCAGAAATGCCAGCCATACTTTACAGACACTTGGCCTTTCCAGCAAAATGCAGCTATTACTTAAATAACCATGCCAAAGTGATCTTGTCACAGAATAACTGCCGTATATATGTTTGTGCCCACAGCTGATTTCAGCCAATCAGAAAGAGGAGAGTTGGTTCAGTTAGTACCAACTGCCACTATAGCACCATCTTAAGAAAAGGAATTCTCCTCTATTGTTTGATAAACTGACAGCTATATTCTCTTATAGTTGCCACCATGGTTACAGCCCAGATCCAACCCACGTCCCACACCAATATGCCTGCAAAAGTCTTGTCACCTGCTTCCTTTCCACTTGTCATACACTTCCACACACCCACGTTTTAAGCTAAGTTTTGTAATTTCCAGAGTTGAACAAGCAGCTAGAAATGCAGTGCTGGATGGAAAATGGTTTTCATTGGGTGTGAGGTACATATGGAAAAACCCAATCAAAAAGAGGAGAGCTAGGAACACCCTTTTCTGGACAGAGACAGAGCTGTTCTCTTAAGACAATTAAACGCCTTGCCATTGCCAGCACATTAAAAAATGAGACTAGCAAACAGTGCTATATCTGAATAGCTTGCCTGTTATAATCGGAATGGCATTTTAGTTCAGCATTTTACAGGAGAGACAATATTAGACCAGATTTAATTGTATAGATACTTGAGAATACAGTTTTGTTTGGGTTATTTAGACAGTCTGTTTTTCACTAATAGTGAATTTGTGGCCTTTTCTCACCAGAACAAATGCATAAAATTTATGCCACAATAAAATGTGTTAGCTTTTAACAAGCCACATGACTCTTCACTGTTTCTGCTAAAACAAAACAATACTATCTCTAGGGAAACTGCATTAGTTGAATACTGTATATGGTAAATGGTATGCATACTGGGAGCTTAAGTAAACTCAGATTAAACTATTCAAGTTTGCTTCCTAATTTCCTCTTTAACATCTGTTATTCTGACCCCATATAGCACTGCCCATTTTACTTGTTAAGTGGCAATTTCATAGCAGCTCCTCGGCTATTCCCACGCTGGAGCCCTGCTGGATCAGAAGCCTCTGTCTCTTTATAGCCAGGATAAGATGTAGCCGCTGACTTGGGGTCATCCCAGTCATCATCCCAATCATCGTCATCAGCAGCTGCTAAAGGGGATAGGATACTGATTGTATATAGGTGCCAAAAATCACATACACGAACAATGAATGAGAACAGCTAATTAACTTCTACTGTCCAATTCAATGTACCCTAAATTCATGTGCAACTACAAGGATAAACTGCTCCAAAGGACAACGTTTTAATACCCCGTTTCCCTGAAAATAAGACCTAGCATGATTTTTCAGGACACTCGTAATATAAGCCCTACCCCCAAAATAAGCCCCAGTTAAATGAAACCCCGCCATCCACCATTGTGCAGCAACCAGAAGAAGATGACATGACTGTAAAATAAAACATTCCTTGAAAATAAGTCCTAATGAGTATTTCGGAGCAAAAATTAATATATGACCCTGTCTTATTTTTAGGGAAACAGGGTATTTAAAAGCAGAACAAAATAATGAAAGAAGCCACAAGGTTCATGTTAAAATTCTGAGTGTCATTCTGAATAACCAGTTAAAGAAACATTCTGCTGACCTGGACCTTGGTAAGCCTGTGGATGGCCGAATGCTGCTGCATCCCAGTTGTTGGAAGCGCTGTTTTTCGGCCTTGTTTCAGGCTTTGATGCCCAGGGATCAGCAACAGTTGTATTGTCCCAGCTTGACCAGGGATCATTTGCATTGCTAGTGACCTATGTTAAGGGGAGCATTTTTAATTTTTTAAAACAGGAAACAGCATAGATAAGAAATAAAATTACATGTATTAGGAACATGTTACATCTTTTAGAACACTGACTTTGAATTAACTGAGATCAACCCATCAGCACATAGATCATCTATATGGATTCCAACAGAGAGGAAATCTCATTTGCAAATATGTATGTAAATTATACATACACGGTGACTTTCAGATAGAAAGTCACTGTCAATAGCAATTCTACTGTCAATGTGAATGAAAGTAAACAAGGGGGAAATGATGTTAAGTGAATAAGGTGAAAGCATTTTTGTATTTACAGAGCCTTGAATCACAACTTAGACCGTAAACATCTACAGTATCTTCAAACTGGATCGGTAGTCTGCCACAGAAAATAGCAACTGAAACCACACAAGACATGGGGTGTTCTGTTACCCATTCACAAACTTTAGTCAAACAGGAGGAGAGAAAGGAAAAGCAGTTTCTAGGAGGAAAAAAACCTTCCAGCTATATGTAGTAGGAACGTAAGCAAGCTCTGACATCTCAGACACCACATTCAAGCCCCCCCCCAAACACCACCACAGGCCACATCAGGCCAGAAAATAATCTGAAACAGACATTTTTCACTAAAATAAGACAGGAAGTATCTAGATGGGCCCCTGCAGCAGGAAGCCTTAGACTGAGGTTCCCATGACAAGACCCAAGAGCAGAAAAACCCTGTTTCTACAAGGCCTTTTCTTTGACAAAAAATGTTTAAGAGGGAGTCTTTTTAATTTGTGGGGCTCTGAGTAGCCCTCGAGGCCACATAAGGCCCAAATGCTGCACTTTGCCTTCATCTATAGAGAAAAAGAGTTTTGTTGTCTTGTGTAAAGATACACGGATGTACATGCGCACACTGAAAACATAAAGCAATTTACCAATTAGTCAGTTAATAAAATCAGGAAAGCTTTAAAATGAGATGCAGCTAAGTCAATAAAAGCTTTCCACTCCCTATTATAAAAACCGGTCTTCAAATTAATACTACAGAAATTAAATTAAATGTTTCTCTCATTATTTAAAAATGAAGGGTCATCTTTGATTCAAACAACCATATTTCAATTAATTAATCCAAGGTATGCTTGAGTCTTCTCATGTACAGAACTTGTTCACTCTGCTTCATGTGAGTCACAGAATTAAAATAGAACATCTAAGTAAACATTTCCTGTTTTGTCTAAACCAGCAAAATATGATTTCGATCTTTGCAACAGACCAGGACCTTAAACTTGCTTCAAGCCATGATTTATGATCCTATCTTAAAATATATATATATTCTCTCCCAGTTCAGCTGAAACCTAAAGCTGTCATTAGAAATTTCTTAATTTAATTACAGCAGAGAAGAGGAAAGTGCCTGCACATGTGGCCAAAAGGCTTGTATACCAATACAGTGGTTCTGAATGCAACTAAATCACAGTCTCAAGGACTGTATACAGGACTCTTATCTAGTATAGGAGTGGGTAACCCTGGCAAGCCTAAGGCTCTGAAGATGCCGGCCACAGAGACTGGCGAAACGTGAGGAAGAACAACCTTCAGAACACGGCCAAAGAGCCCGAAAAACCCACAACAACTGCTTGGGCTGCTGTTCTTGTTTGCTTGTTTTCCTCCTCCCCTTTCAGTTTTTATATTCTTTTTAATATTGTAAGTTGCCTTGGGTCCTCTTGAGGAAAAAAGGCAAGGTATCAATATTTTAAACAAACGAAAAAGCTCAGGTAACTTGTTTTTGCTAGCTGTACTTCTTGAACTGAAAGCAGAAGTGACCAGAGGTCCACATCAATTTTTCGTAAAACTTGTTTTCAAGGTGAACTGAGCTTCCTGGAGGCTTGCAGATTCTCTTTCTTCAAGCAAGAAAAAAAATATCAATAGCAGGAGTATGTGCAGATAATGCACAACATGCTGCTCATCTTATTAATAACAACAGCTCACTGTACTCCTAAGACAGTAATGGCCTGATCCTTATTGGAAGAAAATGTCATTCTTTCCAATGTTTATGCTCTAATGTTACAAGACTGTACATCAAACCATGAAAGACATATTAAAAAACCATGATTGTATTGAAGAATGGTTCTCCTGTTTCACCTAGACCTTGCAAACAATCACATTTTGGTGAAAAAATAAGCAATTATATCATTATAAATGTGTCCATTTTTAATATATAAGTCAAAATATCCTGTTATTAATCAGTGGGCAACCGTACCCATAGTCATCATTACAAAATGCAAATCTTGCACTTCTATACTTGGCACTGACACATGAAGATCACATTTTGGCCCTAAATCTAATAAGTGGCTTTCTTAAGGAGTTTCACATAAACCACATCAGTCAGAAATCTGCCATGAGATGTCATCATCTCTCCAACAAGATTCAACCATCTACTAGTATTTTTTAGTATGTCTGCCAAGTCAATGTCTCCTCCCAAAGGGAAAATAAGATCTAAATCTTAAAGTGTTATGTATCTCATACCACCAGTGATCAATAAGAATACACATGCTTTAAATGCTAAAGACTTACTCCTTTTTATTTATTTATTTACTTTCTTAATTTATATCACAATCAAGTGATGCAAGATGGCATACAATAACTTACAAATATATATATTTAAAATTTCAGTAAATTAAGACATTAATATTAAAATATTATTGAAATAACAGTGTTAAATGTCATTAATTAAAACAAATTAAAATATATTTAAAATATATCAGAAAAATATGCTAAGGAAAATAATCTGCATCCTCTTTTTAATATATACAATCCATGCAAGAACACGTGGAGGACAAAAGGCAACTTAAGAAGGAAGCCTTTCACTTGCCAGCAGGGGCAAGGATGAGGCTAACCAAGTTTTGTGAAGCAAGGAATTCCAAAGGCTGGAAGAAGCCATTAAAAATGCCCTCCCTCAGCTCTTTACTAGGTGTGCCTGGAATGATGATGGGACTGAGAGAAGGCTTTCCCTTAAATATATCAAAGACTAGAGGGGATTATATGGGGAGCTAATGGTCCTTCAAATAACCTGAGCCCAAGCTATACAGAGCTTTATTGGTCTTAACCTGCACTGTGAAATGGGCTGTAGAATGGGCTGGCAGACAGTGAACTTGTTACAAGGGAGCAATACAACCCTTGTAAGTGGCACTAGTTAACAGTCTGGCTGCAGCATTTTGAATCAGCTGAAGTTTCTGAACCATCTTCAAAGGCTGTCCCATGCAGAATGTGTTACGATGATCCAAAAAGGAGGTAACTAAACTGTGTCATTGTACCCATGTGAGATTTTCCAGGGATGAATGCAGTGGGTGCACCAGCTTTTACTATGCAAATGAAGTCCTGACCACTGCTAAAACCTGGGCATGCAAGTTTCCAGGAATACATACACCCAAGCTGTGTACTTGCATTTTCAGAGGGAATGTAATGTCATCTGGATGGCTCCCTATTCCCTGAGCTGTCTTACAACTGACCAGGTGCACCTCCATCTTGCCAAGATTAAATGTCAATTTGTTTGCCCTCATCCAGTCCATTACAGACAGTGGGTACTGGTTTAGAGCCAAGACAACTCCCTTAGAATAAAATGGAAAGGAGAGATAGAATTGGGTGTCATCCACGATACAGAAGACACTGAACCTCAAAACTCCAGATAACTTCCCCCAGTAGTTTCATGTAGTTACTAAATAGCATGGGAGACAAAACAGAGCCCTGGTGAGTACCACAGCCCAAAGGCTAGGATGATGAACAGGAGTCCACCAGCACAACCCTATGTGTTGGGCCTCCAAGTCCAATCCCAGTGAGGCAGCCCAGAAAAATACCATGGCCAATGGCATCAAAAGTTGCTGAGAAGCAGAACCAACAGGGACACTCTCTTCCAATGGTTGTTGTGGGTTTTTCGGGCTCTTTGGCCGTGTTCTGAAGGTTGTTCTTCCTAACGTTTCGCCAGTCCTCTGAAGATGCCGGCCACAGAGAATGGCGAAACGTTAGGAAGAACAACCTTCAGAACACGGCCAAAGAGCCCGAAAAACCCACAACAACCATTAGATCCCAGCCGTGAAAGCCTTTGCGAATACACTCTCTTCCAGTTCAGTTCTTAGCATGGGGTGTACACCAAGGCAACCAAAGCTGTCTCCATCCCACAACCAGGCCTAAAACCTGGTTGTTTACCAGACTTTAAACAAAGAACATCTACCTTCAAACAACATTTAAAAAGTTGGTATAGAGGGTTGGTTAACTTCAGGGACTTCTAAGATTAGTAGAATCCTACTATCTTTAAAACTGACATACAGTATAGGAAAGGAAAAAAAATCACACAGTTATTTCAAAATTTCCCTTTCGTTATTGATGAGGAATAAAATCTCCAAATATTGATACCATTTAAAAAAAAAGATTTTAAACTGAGCAAGCCAGTTCCTCCGCAGAGTGAAGCCCTTTTCAGGCATTTTAAAAGAGCCACCTCAATAGATGAGTGGGGATGAGGCACTATTGAGATGGCAAATAGCTTGTCCCTGACATCAAGTGCACCCATCACCTTCTGCCTTAGGATTCCTGTTGAAGTGGAAGCCTCTGCATGTACATCTTAACATGCAAATGTTTTTTCCCTGCCTTCTTTCGTCCTACGCACCCGGGAAAGAACTAAATGGCACATATGATAGCGGGTATGGAGTTAATCAGCATACCTCTCTTTCCACTCTTCCGCTGAGGCAACAATTTTAAACAAGGCCTAGAAAGGATTTAGAAAAAGGAGAAAACCTAATTTATTTGTGTGTCTTCACAAACTAAGAGGAATGTATACTTGACTAAATAAATGGCTAGAATTAAACCTTATGTAAGTACAGAGGAACGTTTTCTACCTTCACTTCTACATTTAGAAAACAAGATTATGATATCAACTAGAGATATGAGAATATCAAGTGGATTGGTCTGAGTTTAACCCACTACTGTATTAATGTTAAAAAGTTACCTTTCTTGTAGAAGGAGTTGAAGGTGGAGAGTGAGGGAAAAAATCCAACATAGCTGTATGATTGGCAGATGCCAAAAAATCCACCTTAAAAACAAGAGCTCTCAGTAAAAGAAGGAAAGATGGCAACAGGAAAGCCTAAGTAATTTAGAGCTCGGTGGCATAGGCAGATTCATGCAGGGAAGGCAGACTGAAATGTACACATGCCATAAGGTTCCTGCAGTCAGAAGCAACATGCAACAAAGCAGAAGTTCGTTTCTAAAAACAACAGAATTATGGCTTCAGAACTATATTCAAGGCATAGTGTTTAGATCCTAGATATTACATATGGCAAAAGAGCAAAAATTTAAAACCATGCACCCAACCACAAGCTATAAAATGAAAATCCAAAGGCCACCTTGCATGTGACATTGTTACAGAGGAAATGCTTTCCTATCAGTTTATAAATGAACTTCGTCTATGTAGCCTTCACGCTGTAAATATTATGAAATTCAAGACATTTGTCCAAATTCTTGCCACATTCTTAAGGAATGGTTTGATTCTCTATGGCATAGAATTGACTTTTATGAAGAAAAACATCCTCAATCTTTCCAAATCCTCATATTTTATTTCCAGTGAAAGCCATATGAGAGTTTGGGAGTCAACAAGTATACAAAACAGCTGTTTTAATTGGAATGCTATGTTAACAGATTTTAAAACTTGGGACCTCCTAGTAGCTATCCTTTTGAACATGAAAATTGATGACATGGACTTCTTGGAGATATGGATACAATTTGTATTTTATCAGCATTTAAGAGCCAAATCCAGTATCAGGCAAAATTTGAAAGTGGTAATCTGAAAAAGGCGAAATATTAACTCTCCTCTTACAACATCTCCACTGGCTGCCAATCCATTTCTGGGCACAATTCAAAGTGCTGGTTTTAATCTATACAGCCTTAAATCCAAGCTATCTAAAAGTTCCTATCACTCCTTATGAGCCTACATGGGTACTGAGATCTTCTGGAGAAGCGTTTCTCTCAGTCTCATCACCCTCACAGGCAAGTTTGGTGGAGACAGGGAGAGAGCCATCTCACAGACTCTGGAACTCCCTCCCACAGGTCGTCACACTGGCCTCATCTTTGTTGTTCTTCTGAAAGCAGACAAAGACCTTTCTCTTCAGGCAGGCTTTCCTCTACATGACTGATTGATCAAAGGAATTTTTTAAAGGGAGTATTTTATTCTGTTTTTTACTTGTGTTTTAATACTGCTCTTATTTCTGAGTTCTAATATGATATCTGCTTAATGCTTTTTAAATATTGTAACAGGTTATTATTTAGCTTTGAATTTAGCTTTGTTTAATACTGTAAGCCACCTTAGATCCTTAGGAGAAAGGTAAGGTAAAGGTTCCCCATGACATTTAGTCCAGTCGTGTCCAATTGTAGGGGGCGTTGCTCATCCCCGTTTCCAAGCGGTAGAGCCAGCGTTTGTCCGAAGACAGTTTCCGTGGCCAGGGTGACTAGACATGGAATGCCGTTACCTTCCCAATTTTTAAAAAATTGTACCAACATTTGGAGATTATATTCCTCATTAATAACGAAAGGGAAATTTTGAAATGACTGTGTGATTTTCTTTTTCCTTTCCTATACTGTATGTCAATTTTAAAAATAGTAGGATTCTACTAATCTTAGAAGTCCCTGAAGTTAACCAACCCTCTATACCAACTTCTTAAATGTTGTTTGAAGATAGATGTTCTTTGTTTACAATCTGGTTTTATCTACTCGCATTTTTACATGCTTTCAAACTGCTAGGTTGGCAGGAGCTGGGACAAGCGACGGGAGCTCACTCCATTGCATGGATTCGATCTTACAACTGCTGGTCTTCTGACCTTGCAGCACAGAGGCTTCTGCGGTTTAACCCGCAGCCCCACCACCTAGGTGAAAGGGGTCATATAATTAATTAATTAATTAATTAAATTAATTAAAGTAAATAAGTAAATAAATCCTCATACATTTCTTATACAATCAAACTCTGAGTGGGGAAATGCCAGCTATCTTAGTGTTTAATGTCATGCAGCTCCTGGCCTGCCCAAAAAATTCATAACCACATGTTTAATTAACCATGTTATCTGAAAAGAATACCCCTTATGTGAAATGTTGAATACAAGCCACTTTTCAGAGATCCGTACTTTTGATGAAGGCCTGAAGTTCAGATAATGTTCATGATGGGCTAGCTGGTCTTACATATTAAGGGAATTCATAAACCTAAACTAGCTGATGGCCGAAGAGATTACATGAAATGGACAAGAGTGGTCTGGTAGTCCAGATAGGTGGGGTATCAATCAATCAATCAATCAATCAATCAATCAATCAATCAATCAATCAATCAATCAATCAATCAATCAATCAATCAATCAATCAAACAAACAAACAAACAATCAAACAAACAAACAAACAAACAAACAAACAAACAAATAAATATAACTTCATATAATGAAAATGTGATAGACACAGACTTGAGGGACAGGTAGAGCCCCATGGGCAAGGTATGCAAGTTGAGAGGAAAGAGATACCAGAGAGAGACACAGAGAAAGCAAAAAGAGTCAGCTAAGCCAATACACTAAAATCTGAGAGAAAAACCAGTAGAGATAGAAGCCTGGAAGAATACAAAGAACTGAGCAATACAAGAGCTAATTAGAAAAATAGCTTTAGAAAAAAATCAGACAAGTTTTTTTCTCTCTTTCCTGCCAATAGGAAACAAGCAACCAAGGATGCTGAAATTGTGAAGGAGAGTTGAAAGTCCAAGAAATAGGTGGGCTGAAATCATACATCATATAGATACAGAGAGCAAGAAGGCACTGAGTTTTAGGCATGCCGAAAGTTGGACAAGTAGAGGAGCTTTGGACGCCAAAGAATTGTAGACCAGAGGTCAGCAGGCTATAGAGATATCTGGACTATTCTCTGAGGAGCTGTTTACCTTTAAAGCCAAGGTCAGCAAATGTTGCTCACCTTGGCTCCATGTATTTGGATTATAATCCATAATCCATCTGCATTAACTACACAGTGAAAAACATCTAGAAGGCAACAGCTGGCTACCTCTTATTAGAAAGTTACCAAGTGTAACATCTTTCATTGTTGGAACAGGACAATAACAAATTGTAACTCATACAATTCTCTGTTCTGAGCAGGAAAGCCATAGGAATCAAGTCCTGAGCCAGACTGGGTCCATAATATCTCATAGGTTAAGTTTCTCACAACAAAAACAAGAGTTTAAAATGTACATGAAATGTACAAGTCAAAGATCTAAGAGTCATGCTAAATCATACCAATTTAGTCCAGCATTCTGTTCTTAATAGAAAGCCAACAGGCAAAATAGGATTGCAGCACTCTTCCACTTGATATGCTGCCAAGTACTGGGGGCACTATACATGATGGCCACTATTAGCATTATTCGCATTGATTTTGCAGACTAAATAGCATTAAAATAAATCAGGCAACAAGTTGCATTGTTGGAGCAACTTCCTGTTGTGGTCTATTCAGTTTTTCCCAGTACCGTGAAATAGCCAATAAAACACAGTTCCCAACATTTCACAAAAATACCTAAACTCTCCAATACTACATAACTATATTAACAGCAGTCAAGTATGTTTTCCTTTATTGGCTTTGCCAAAAGAAGATGTACCAAACCATGTATACATTTTATAAATACTGTACAAAAACAGCTTTAGTAGCATGTTTTTTCCATAATAGGAATATAATTAATATAGAAATCTATTACATTACACAGGGAATGACACTATACTCATTGTTACTATAGAACTGTTCAACCTAGCCTCAATTATAATCAACTTTTAACGATAACAATTCCTGGTGCCCTGCTGTACTGTCCCCCACAATTAAAACCTGTGCTTTGCAAAAAATTTGTTTGAAGAGACTTGACTAATTAAACTAAGTTTCATTTATAGAGAGATGCTTAAATGCACAGTGCAGGTACGAAGAACATAACCAAAATTTTTCAGATGGAAAAAATTCAGGAAGGCAACTAAAGGCAGAATCTTGGAGTAATAGGCTTCAATTACCATCAGAATAACTGAACAAATGAACATTAAGATAGTGAGACAGAGACAAAACTGTCCAAATGGAATAGATTATGTTAATTATGGAGTCAACCAGAAGAGAACCATGATTCCACCCAGAAAGATATCTAGACTTTGGTATAAGATGTCAAAGTCCTTATGAATACTGATCATAATGCTTTCTAATTCAACAGGAAGAGGAAGACAGCAGTCATATTTAACTTCAAAGGGGAAATGTCACAAAAATGAAGGGATTAGTTAAAATAAAAGTTGAAAGGAAGTGCCAAATATCTTCAAGATGCTTGGAGATTATTTACAGGAGACTGTACCATCACCTCAAATAAAATGAGTGTCTCGCACATACAGGAAACAACAAAGTCACAAAGGATGACATCCTAGTTGATGAGAAGAGTCAAGAAAGCATACATCTTTAAAAAAAACAAGTGGCAATCTTAGCGAAAGGAGAACAAACTCTGGCAAAATCACTACTTTAGTACATGGTAGCAACCCATTTTCTCCTTAAAAAGGAAACAAATTCAACCACATTAGTGCAAAATCAATATATCAGTGATGGCCTATGGCTAAACGGAACATCCATGCTCAAAGCTACTATATGCCTAAATGCCAGTAGCTACAAGATTAAGATGAAGACACAATTGCCACCTTTATGTTTACAGCTTCCTGGAAGCATCAAGCTGCCTGTTGTTGAAGATGATCCAGCAGTTCTTCTTTTTTTTAATGCTTGATACTAGGGACTATTGGAGTGCTGAGGCTCCAGTACTTTGGCCATCTCATGAGAAGAGAAGGCTCCCTGGAAAAGACCCTGATGTTGGGAAAGTGTGAGGGCAGGAAGAGAAGGGGATGACAGAGGACGAGATGGATGGACAGTGTGATCAAAACTACCACCATGAATTTGACCCAACTCTGGGAGGCAGCGGAAGACAGGGGGGGCTGGCATGCTCTGGTCCATGGGGTCACGAAGAGTCGGACACGACTTAATGACTAAACAACACCAACAACTAGGGATGTGCCATTTGGACTTTTTTAGACTATTAAGTGTCCATTCTGGGAGTTTCACCTGACAGATATACACTTAAACTTCACTCATTGGGAGAAAGATACCGCTCAAAGGCTTTGTGGCCTAGCACAGGTCTAGTTTTGCCGGGTTTTCTGCATAAAAAGGAAGCTACCCCTATGATGTGTTTTATCCAGGTTGTTTTTTGGTGAAAAGCACCTTAGCTTTCCCCCTACAAAACAACTTATAAAGAGGGGAGGGGTTACATACAGCACTGATGTTACCTGTCTGTCATGGGTTTGGAGGGAAAGTTCCATCCTATGGGGAGTGGAAGGCGGGACATCAGGAGGAGGGGCTGTACTGTATATATATGTGGAGCGTGTGTGGAGAAGAAGAAGAAGCTGGAGGAGAAGCTGAAGAGAAGAAGCTGGTGTGGGAGTCTGTGTGTCAGACAGGGTACTACTGTGTGTCAGTCAGTACCAACCTGATAGGTTCAGGTGTCTGTATGGGAAGCCAGAACTGATAGGTTCAGGGTCTGTGCTTTATTTAAAGGTGTTCTGTGTGAACCAGACTGGTGTATGTATGACTGAGACTAAGCCACGTTACTGTATCTTATCCACTTGATCATTTTATTTTCCCTGTGTGTTATTTAAATAAACCTTGTTCTTTTATTTGTTAAAAATCCATTCCTGGTCTGTGTGACTCCTTACAGGGAATGGTTGGTGGCAGCTTAGTGAAACTGTGGTATATCCCAGTAGGTCTGGGGTTGTCACAACGACTTAATGACTAAACAACACCAACAACTAGGGATGTGCCATTTGGACTTTTTTAGACTATTAAGTGTCCATTCTGGGAGTTTCACCTGACAGATATACACTTAAACTTCACTCATTGGGAGAAAGATACCGCTCAAAGGCTTTGTGGCCTAGCACAGGTCTAGTTTTGCCGAGTTTTCTGCATAAAAAGGAAGCTACCCCTATGAACAGGAAGCTGGGCAGAGCTAGGCCAATGTTATACCATAAAGCCTTTGAGCTGGGCTTTTCTTTCAGTGAGTGAAATTTAGGTGTGCGTCTTAGGTATGGGAGTTGCAACTCCCAGAATGGAAAATTCTGAGAAATGTAGTTTTAAAAAATCCAAATAGTATAAGCCCGATTTGTTATTCAGGTCTTAATTTTAGGGACCAAACTACACTGAGAATAAGATGTATGGGTATATGAATCAGACTAGATTGGACAGATAATTGGACCTAATTAATGGATAACTGCAAAATGGAATGGAGGAATATTTAATTTTATTTCACAACCACAATGATTGACTGTTTCATGCTTGATCTGAAGGCATAGGATTGCACTTGTTCTGAAATTTTTAATTACAGAATTAGAAAAAAACCTCAAGATGCATAGTTGTTGTGGTGACAAGACCCTGGCCAGGCTAAAAGACAGTGGAACAATACGAAGACATTACAAAGCTGGATACTTTAAATGGCCCTATGTTCTGTGCCTACCTTTGTAAGTTGCTATGATTATGCCATTTGCCTCAAGACGAAGGGATGCTGTTTCTGGGCTATTAAGAAAGGTGACACAGTGCACTTTTCTCCAGATTTACCATCTACCAATACAAAACTGAATTATATCGAGGAGGCCAATCAGAATGCAGGAAAATGAGAGGGCAAACGCACCTTGGCACCTTTTTCAACTCATTTTTTTTTCTTTAATTCAATTTTGCTTGGGGACCTTTGGCTTCAGTTTTTCTTTTTGACTTTATTCTGAAAAAGGGGTATGTTTTAACCATAAGTGAGATCACTTCTTTTGGAAGGTTCCCAGAATTTTACCCTTGTGATATACCGTATTTTTTGCTCCATAAGACGCACTCCCCCCCCCAAAAAAGTGGGGGGGAAGTCTGTGCATCTTATGGAGCGAAGGCCGTGATTTCGCCCCCACTGGCCCCGTGGGGGGGAGCGTCCCAAGGGTCCAAGTGAGCCTTCCAGGACCCTTGCGATGCAAGGGTGGGGATAGCGTCACAAGGGTCCGAGTGAGCCTTCCAGGACCCTTGCGATGCTCCCCCACCCCCCCAAGGGGCCAGCAGGGGCGAAATCGCCAGCTTCTGGGAGTCTTTTGAGGCTTGGGAAGATTCAGAAGATTCCCAGAAGGTGGCAATTTTGCCCCCTCTGCCCCCTGGGGGGCAGGGTGAGTCTCTAAAGGGTCCTGGAACACACCCTAGGTCCCTTTGGACGCTCCCTGCCCCCCCGGGGTCAGAGGGGGCAAAACCACCACCTTGTTGGACTCTTTTGAGGCTTGGGAAGCTTCAGAAGATTCCCAGAAGGTGGCAATTTTGCCCCCTCTGCCCCCTGGGGGGCAGGGTGCGTCTCTAAAGGGTCCTGGAACACACCCTAGGTCCCTTTGGAGGCTCACCCTGCCCCCCCGCCGCCGCGCAAATGGGGGGTGCG